CGATGTGCTGATCCTTCTTCGCCAACTCAGCTTGAGCCTTGTCGGCTCGGCTCCTGTACGCCCAGAACCGCTAAATGATGACCCTTATCTGTTGGCAAGCCTGAAAAGAAAGAACAAATATCAAAATGGGAGCATAACAACAAAGAAATCAGAGTGTCATGGTGAGCTCAGATTATTTACCACCAAGTAATGTTGTATCACTCCTTGGAGGAGCCGATTGTCTCCGTACTCCTCCAAGATTGTCATGTCGACATCAAAATGAAGACTCTGACTAACGGCCAGGGCCACGTTATGGGAGTGGATAATGGAGTCCGACTCCAGGATTGAATGCCTCTTTCTTGTTATGGCTCAGGGGCCCCACTCGGTTGTGCTAGATGGCGTTAGAGCGTCATGCCTTTGCTTAACTCGGCGCTCCCACTGTCGATCGTCGGTTTGTTTCAAAAGCTCATCTTGGCACCTCTTTCGTGAGTATTGGTCCCTCAAGGGGACCATTTTGTTGTTGTTGTTATTGTTGTTGTTGTTGTTATTGTTGTTGTTGTTGTTATTGTTGTTGTTGCTGCTGATGTTGTTGTTGTCGTTGCTAATGTGGTGGTGATGGTGGTGATGGTCAGTGATTGGAGTGGTTCCTAACAACTCGCCTTCTCCTGAGAACCTCGTTTTCCTTGTCGTTGAGGTTGTGATGGGGGGAATGCAAAACATGTCTAATAGAGATGGAGTAGAATCTAGATCGCGGTCGGGATTGGCTTCAAGATCTTTCTCTTCCATCTATTCCTCTTCTTCCTCGAAAGAATTGTATGCCCAGATGGAGGAGTCGAACGATGGAGGGATCTATGAAAACCAAGTGTAGCCAGGGTGGTAACTGAGTAAAACGTGGGCCACCCGAGCAAACGGATCAGTAGGGTTGTGGGACCAGACCTTGATTAAGTCCTCGAAAGCTACTTCAAACTTTGGGGGTTGGGCAGCGTCTATCTTGTATACCTCTGCAAAGAAAAAACAACATTGAAGTCAGAAAAAGAAATACAAGTCAAAGGGGGGAAAAGTTAGTGCAATGCCCACCTAAATCCCTCGGCACTTTGGAGCAAAAAAGGCCATCATACTTGGGCCTATTACCTTTCTATCATCTGTCGCCGAGCATGACGAGATCCTGGGCATACCCCTTGTTCGAGTCGAGCATGTGTGTCACCAAATACATTGAGGAGTTCCAAGCCTGAAGATAATACCTACCCCTACTGACTAATTTGAAGTCATAGTAGAATTGAATCTCATTTATCTCCAGGTTTACCCCCAGTCTAGCATTTATGTCGACTACGTCCATGACTATTCTAAATAGACTGATACAACACTAAAGGGGGAAAAGCCTCAAATGCATGAGTACTCTTAATATGAGGGGAGGAAGAGGGGATTCAATTACCAAAATATGACAGTTTTCAAACAAAAACACCAAAGTACTGGACTTTTAAACTCAACTGAAACTAGAATCAACAATTCCACTTTTAACAAGTGATACAACAAAAATGGGGAAATTCATTTTTTTAATTATTAAAAACGATCTTGTTGATTCCACTTTTATAATAAAAACGGAATCAACAACTCCACCTTTAAAAAACTACCGTAAATCAGTAAATAAGTTTAAAAGTGTCATACTTTAGTATTTTTGTTTGAAAATTGACATATTTTGGTAATTGATTTAGGAAGAGGGAACCTAACTCCCCCCTCCATGATGACCTTGGTGTCAAAAGCCATTAGTTCCACACTACCTAAGACTTGTGGAACCTAGAGTTGAAAACAAAAGTGAAAATGGGCTCAAGAATGTTGTACTTATCCCTAAACGCCTGCATGTTGGTCTCTTTCACTTGAGTCCTTCCTCAGCCTACCAGTGTTACTAAACCTAATTGGTTCCCTAACTATGGTTCATCGTATTCTGGCCATATAGGAGTTCTAGAGAAATGTAGAAGAGAATGAGGAATATGGAGAACAAATTATGGGAAGGGAAGTACTAACAGGTTTAGTGACTTCAAAGGATGTGCTCAAAGGAGTAAGGACAGTTGCTTGGGATTGATTGCAAGTTGAGAAAGTCGAAGATCCAAAGTCTGGAATCAGCCAAAAGATCTCCTATTTATACTTTGCAGCAAGGGCGACAATCAAAGAGGCAGGCCATCAATTGCAAATTTGAAATTTACGGTGCCAGTCGTGCGTGTAACCACCCCTAAATTCAAAGCATGCTCAGTAAGCCTCCACTTTCCATGCACCACTTGTCCCATGACGCTAGGGAAATGGAGGCTAGGGGTAGTTGACAGGACTTTAGGCGATTCAGCAGCTACGAGTTGACACGTGGATAGTTATAGCTGTTAGGAATTACAAAGGACACTAGGCAAGAACACTGAGGAGTTATGGGATAGAAACGCTGAGCACCACTTATCAAGCACAACATTAAAAGAAGATATGACAACTCATTAATGACGACTTAAGTAACTGTGATAGGGACATTAATGAGCCTCCTTGTTCTCAAGACCTGCAAAGACAGTTATTATTACAAGGCATTAATTGCCATTACGCTGACCCATTATCCTTAGCAATACCCGAGGTGCTTATTCCCGAGCAATAACTGCTCAGACATAGATGTCAAGCGTCGAGTATGGGTTCTTAAATGATCGAAGATGGGTAGTTAATGTTCGGAGGTCCCCGAGCATGTATTCACTATCCCAAGGGGGAAATCTTAAGTGAATTTGATGGGATTGCACTCATTATACTTGGATATGAGTGTCAGTCATTAAATGCTGAGATGAGACTCATAGACCCCCTAATCGTTACTAGTTCAGCTATAAATACACCTCAGAAAGTTGAACAAAGGTACGTAAATTAAATCCATAAATCACATTGTGCTAATGTCTCCAATGCCAACTAACTTAAGCTTCAGAAGGAATTAAGCGGGTGTTCATCCGCCCCCTTTCCTAATCTTTTGATTGTCTTAGGTTCATCATCCAACGGATCGTTATCTCTACTCATTGCAAGAATTCATCCCGTGCAATAAGATAACAAGTGTATGTGATAGTTTATTTTTCTCTTGTTTATTTCTTACTTTACAAATAAGGTTGATCTCTCTTCATATATCTACACGATCACCGTCAATAGTACATCGATAGATTAATCCGTAATTTATATTTTATCGGTGGATATATACCCAATATGTTTGACCACATCAATTCCTTGGTGTTCAATTTCGCTTTCATATTATCAATGTCGTCAGGTCGTGAATTTAACTGCAGCACAACAAGTAATAGCCTGGTGGTCAAAATCTCTCTGACTATTATAAAGTTATAAGGTTCGAGACAAAATCACATAAATGGAGTATGGGTGTTTTTTCTTTTCTTTTTTTACAGTTTTCAGGTTGTCAAAGGTATTTATTTGTTTGAGAGAGAGAGGGGGGGTATGTTATGGAGTAGGAATGACCATTGGCTTTTGTTTTGCTAACTTAGTACTGGAAGGGATTAAATAGATTGGATTAATTTACTAGCTGAGTTAGGCATACCTAATCATCAGACCCTAAGGTCAACAAGTCTTGTCGAGCTTTCGTAGCTACTCATTCTAGTGTTCAGAATGTGGTTGTGGATATTTTTAAAGCATGCGAGATGTACCCTATTCCTTTTAAATTTGATTCTTATAAACTTTTAAATTTGAAACTGTTGACACATTGAATTGTTAGCCTAAGGACACAACCCCAACGTCTTAATGGGTAAGGGGCACAATGACATTAGATAAATGTATAGAGATAGAGAAAGACTATGGTATCGGAAAATATATCGCACCAAAATTACAATGATTTAAGATCAAATTATAATTTTTTAAGGTAGTTACAATTTCAAAAAATAGAAGATCAACTCCTGTGACACGATCTAAACAAGATATTTAGTTATTATTAGACTAATTCATTTTGGTCCCACCTTGTGATACCCAAACAGAGCATCCCCTGAGTGTTCATTCATTCTATTTTCATATCTTGTTGGGGTCTCTCAATATTTAAAAAATGGGTAGGCATATACAGGACTTTTTTTTTTTATTTTTAAATTTAGTTTGGATCATGGTTTGGAATTTGATGTGCGCCAAATGGGCTGGGATGAGATGGGCTGGACAGGGCAGAGCCGAGCCCAACTCCCATACCACAAAGATAATGGGCTGGGTGGGCTTTAGGAGTATATGCTGTGGCACAGGAAACCGGCTGCAGGACCCGCTTTGAAGCAGCTTGGGCTAGACTTGCCCACGGGTTTTTAACCCAAAAACACAAAAATTATCCTAGAAAGTGTAATTTATAACTTGAAACTTAGGTTTAATTACACTGAAGATCTCCAAAATATGAGATTTGTCTCTTTTTTGTCCTAATATTTTAATTGCCTCATTTTAGTCTCTAAAATATGAATATATTTTTATGTGATATCTCAATCAGACATCATCCAAATTGTTAACAGATTTTTTTATTATTATAAATTTGTCACGTAATACTTAAATATAGGTAAAAAAATAATTTGAATAATTTTGACAAATTATGATAAAAAATATTAACAATTTAGATGTTGTCTGTTTGAGAGACCGCATAAAAATATATTCAATACTTTCGAACAAAAATAATACAAATGAAATATTGGGAATCAATATGAAATAAATTTTATACTTTTGAGATCTCCAGTGCGATTAACCCTATAATTGAAGAGTTAGTATTAATTACAAGTTATTAATCATAATGTATTAGCGACACATTTTTTAAACTAGCTCAAAAATCGTAACTAAGAAATTGAAAATTAGGTAGATTGGTGGACAAGCTTAGCATTATAGATTGACTTAGTGTAACGGGTTCACAGATCATGCTTCGCGCTTAAGAGATGATAGTATACAATATGAATCTGAGTCATTTAATTTTGTAAACTTTGATTTTGGACCTTTGCTTTTGGCAACTTATCAGTCTGCATGATGGGGAAACGGCAATAATGGACCTTTGGCCTTTTGGACGGACACTTGCGTTTGCTTGCTTTCTGTGTTTGGTTCCTATCATTGCACCATGACACGTACCAAGGGCTGTTCAATAATAGAACAGAAGCATTGCGTTCTTGTAGTGATATTTTATGTCTCATTCTACATATATTTGGAGTATCGTTGTGTAATAAATTGATGCAAGGGGTACTACTAATATACTAAAACAACAGTTTTAAAATCCCACATGCAGTCATACGGTATACCCATGCCAGCCTTCATTACACCAAACGTATCTGCAACAACCCCCCCAAGAAAAAAAAAAAAAAACTCTTTCTCTAACTTTGGCCACTACTACCCATCTGAATCTGACCCTTAGCCTCAGCTTCTTTCTTCTTCACCTCCTTCATGGTTGACCTCCACTTGAAGAAAGTCCCAAACAATTGCTCCATCTCCTCTAGGGTTCTACCCTGTGTTTCAGGGAGTAACGTATAAAAGAAAACCCATGCCACCATTGCAATCCCTGTGTATAAAAAGAAAGCCCCACCAATTGTGATGGCATTATATAAAGATATAAAGGTCATTGAGAGGACCCCACTTGTCGCCCTATTCACTGCCACCCCCATACTACACCCTTGTGCTCTTAGCTTCAGTGGAAATATCTCAGAGCTGTAGACCCAAGTGATGGGACCCATCCCGATCGAGAAGAACGCGACGTACGATAATACCATGGACAGGGACAACGCTATGGCCCACGTAAGCTTATGATCAGAGTGATCAATCACCGTCAAACCAACGCCAAGCAACATCAGGGACACGATCATGCCCCCAACACTTGATAGAAGCAATGGTCGCCGTCCGATCTTGTCTAGTAAAAATGTGGCCACTAGGATGAAAATCGTCTTGGTGGTACCAACAGCAATTGTAGCCAATAACTTATCAGTGTTCTTTGTTATACCCGCTTTTTCGAAAATTCTCGGGCTATACAAGACGACGGCATCTATACCACTCGATTGTTGAAAGAAATGAATACCAATGGCTGCAATTAAAATGTGACGAACCGCGGGTGTAGGATAAAGGAGTAGCTCTCTCCATACACCCTCACCATGGCTATGTTTTGTTGTTATCAAAACGAAGTCGTCGTTGCAGTTTTCAGGAATTCCTGCAGCTTCTTTGATGTCGGCTAGTCTTAATTGGGCCTCTTCTTTAGAGTCTGAGGTTTTGTCCAAAACTCGTTTTGCTTCACCGAGCCGACCCTGCATGATCAGCCACCGAGGCGACTCGGGCATGCCTAAGACTACTACGGCTAAGAATACTGATGGAATTGCTCCGATTCCAAGCATGAATCGCCAACCCAAATGCTCTGGAAGCTTGGAAAATGCGTAGTTGGATATGTATCCAAGTAATATACCTGTTAAAGAAGCATGTATTTATGTTATTTACATGGACAAGCCTGTGACACTTGGAAAAACAATTTCGTATCATATCGGTAGAAACTATAGATCTTGATTTAATTTATTTATGACCATTGATTATAAGATTAAAAAAAATAAAATAGAATAAGAAAACATCACAAATCTCACATTTTTATTAGAGAAAAAGTTAAATTAAGGTAGTTTTAAAAGACTCTTTTTGGCCTGAGATGTCCTTCCAAGTGGATTATGAAAACTCTTTTAGAAAACCCTCTTAGAAGACTCTCATAAGTGGATTAGGCCTTTCACAATTTGGAGTGATAAGATCTAAATGGGACATGGACTTATGTATAGATGGTGTATATATATAATTTTTATATGAATGTTTGGTAAAATATAAAATCAAAATTATCATTATTATATTATCATGTATTTTTTTTCATCTCTATTTTTAATCTATTTGTTGGTCAATCTAATATTATCCAATCATATATTACTAACACAATTTAAATTTTTAATTTTTAAATAAAAACCATCATACGTACATCAAATCACTTGGTCCCTATTTTAATTTTATTTTTTATGAGTCCAATAATATCTAATAAAATTAAAGCGAAGCATATCAATAATTGCCTTCGAAATTATTTTTTTTCTTGGATATGACTTTCAAAATCTTTTGTTTTTCTCAAGTATTATTATTTTAAAGGAGACAACGAATTTTAAATCTGCTTTATGATTTTTTATAATTGTGAAAATTATTACTGTTGTGTGAAAAGAGAAGTTCATTTCATGTTAGCCGTTTGTTATTTTTAACAGTGATGGATGTTTTTAGGCGAGCCTTGAGCAATATAGTTAAGAGTATTGTTGTTAAAATTTAATTTATTAATTTATTATAGTCATTAAATTAATTATCGATTCTATCAAATATTAAAATTTAATATTAATTTAAAAATTATAATAAAATTAAATTAATAAATTAATTCAAATATCTAAATTTCAATAGTGTTAGCTAATTAAGTTGTCATTATTGATGAGAGAAGAAGACAAAAGTTATGGGGTCTTTACGTACGTACCGAAGTTAATGAAGACTTCAGGGAAAGATGTAAGAAAGCCACGAGACGCCGCCGGCGAGACCTCCGCGGTGTACACCGGCGCAATCATAAGTGCATAGCCAACGCCGATGCCGGCGACGAACCGGCCAACCATGAGGAAGGCGTAGTTTGTGGCGAAACCCATCAGAAGTGCACCGACGAAGAAGATTGCACCGGCGAGCACTATGGTGTACCGGCGGCCAACCCAGTCTGAAGTCCGGCCAGCAGCGGCAGAGCCGAAGAGACAGTAGAAATTGAGGATTCCGACAAGAATTTCAACTTGTGTGTCGGAGATTTTGAAGTCGTCTTGGATGTAGATTGCTGCTCCACTCATCACTCCAATATCTGCAACAAAAAAAAAAAAAACCACCCATGAAGCCACTTGTGTCTGTGAACCGAAGGCTGAAAACTATATTCTGTTGAAACATAGGCTCTAGAAGTAAATAAAACAAAGGGAACTGGGTATGGGTTAAATTAAAAGAAGCATAACAGGAAGTGTGGAAAATGTTAGAAAAAACTAACCATAGCCCAGTAAGATAGAAGTCATGGAAGCTAAAAGGGTACAAGCTATGGCATACATGTTTCTTTTAGGTTTCTTTGGAGGTTCAAAAGCTGGAATTGGTAACGATGATTGGCTGGAAACCCCATTATTCTCTGGTTTCCGGTCAGCCATCTTGGAGAGAGAGAGAGAGATACAGAGAGGGTATATTATTTTGAGGAGATTCAACAAGGCATGGACTGTAAGGACTCCTGGGCTTGGTTGTTGTTCTTGATGTGGGAGCTTAAATAGACAGGATTACCTCAAGTTAGCCATACCTAAGCATCAGACCTTAAGGTCAACAAGTCCTTTAAATTCCTGGTTCTAGCCACTTGTAAAGTGTGAACGTGGACATTATTTGGGTACGTGAGGTGCACCTTTTTTAACAAGAGAATCAAGAGTCACTAATTAGGCTAGACTTATTAATTAATTTATTTATTTTTTGAAATGTAATTTTTTTATGATAATAATTGGTAATGAGAGGAAATAATTTAGTTTATTTTTGTTGCCAGCCAGCGGCCGACACATATATTTTATTCCTATTTGAGTGTTTAAGAGAAATTATCTACCGAATAGTTTAAAAATAGAAAGTAACCTACTTTTTAAGTAGCGTAATACTATTTGGATTTAAAAATTTGATCTAATTTGTTGACATAATGACGTGGCTGAATAAGAATCATTGGATCACCACCGAGTTCTAATGTTTGATGGGGCCTACAGTCAATCCAAAGGTAATTCTCCAAAAGTAACAATGAATTAGGTCAGATTTTTAGGTCTCAATAGCATTACTTTTTTAAGTAATTGACAATGCTTAGGAAAGTTTGATGTTTTGAGACTTCAACTTAAAAGAGTAGCTAATACTAGATAAACCGTAAAATTAGACATTTTGATTTTAAATCTCGGCAACTTTTTAGGATTAGATAATGATAAATTTATTTCTCATGAATATTTTAGTTAGTTCCAGCGTAGATGGTCTATCTTTAATTGAATCGAGGAGATGACTAATTGAGATATGCACAAATTAGCTTAAATACCGATGGCCAATGAATAAAAAACAAGTGTTGAGAATTTAGTTCTTTCAGACAATCTCTCTCAAAACTTGAACACATGCACCCAGAGTGTGTCTAGAAATTGACAACAAAGATACACTGATTTATATTTAAATCTCTTCGTATCAATTGCACTTGGACCGATGCCAAATGGGTCTTGTTAATTATTCAATAATTTTGATTCTATCAGGTCATTATTTAATAAAATAAAATGATAAGAAAAGTTAGCATTATTGAGAAATTAACCTTCGATACTTAATTGGCAATCAGGGGGCTCAAGTGCTCATTTTGAAGACGACATTAATCCATGATAATACATTTAATAGAAGTATGATAATTTTCATCGAAATCTAACAATAGAAGAATTTTATATTGAAAAAAATATGTATAAATAAGGTTAATCTATATATACATAATCACCATCAATAATATATATCCATGTAGCTCATTAAACATTTGGTCTGTGCATACAAACAAAATATATTTAACTCATATTTAATGGTTTCCATGGATATTTTTTTATAAAGAAAATGGTTTGCCAAAAATAATAATGAAAAATCAGTTCAAGAAAGATATAAAATTTAAAAAGATCAAACTAATCTATATAATATGATGGCTACCAACTTGAATCACACAAATTATAAAATATAATAACAGTCAATATTTATTAAATTTCTATCTATTTTGATCTAATGGTAAAAAATTCATCCTATAAATTTTATTTTTTTTGCTCAAAAATTTATTTTCTAATGTCAAACAACATAACTTACAGGCTCAACTCCGTTAATTCATAGGCCCATAGCTACCCCTCACAAATTTGATGCTTTGAAATTGGGTCATATTTTCTCACCAAAAAAAAAATAAATTGGGTCATATTTCAAAAGGGTAGGTAAGATGGTGAAGCTTGGACCAATTTAATCTCATGATTACCCACCAAAAAATCACAATCTCATTATATATAGGATCGTGTGTGTGACAAATCATTTATAATCCATTTCAATTTCACAATCTGCAAGTGTGATATAATTAAATTCTTAATATACAGTTGTGTTAGATTAAATTTCATTATTTGAAATTCGATCCAAATTCATAAAGAATAATATTGTGCACCATTTCACGTACACCATCTGACGTGACACAATCGCAACTATTGTATTGATTGTTCATTATAAAGTCATTTTTGTAAGCTGACATTGCTACAATTTTTTTTTTTTTCTAGTCACCAAGCTCGTTCTAACAAATGTCTTTGGACGTAAGAGGAGCACTCATCTATGTAATTAGAATTCACCATTTCATTATTTAAGGTCATTTAATTTTTTATTTTTTTTTGTTATATAATATGAGTTTTTTCATGATATTAGAAGAGGTGATCCTTAACTTCTTAAATTCTACCCACTCATTCATCCACTTTATTGGAGATGAATATGTCATTTCTATGATCCCCACAGGCAAGTTGCTGTCAATTGAAAACACAGAAGATAGAAACAAATGCAAACCTGTTATGGTCAAAATGCACCTTTCTCTCCTGCCACCGGTTTCTTCTCAGTCATGATAGCCACAAAAATGAGAGTTTGTCGGCCAGCATTCTTTTCAGCACCCAATTCCAGTAGAGCTAAAGACATGGGTTTAACTCTTGAGTCGTAAATTCAGATGTTTTGAGTTTAAATTTTAATAACTCTTTAAAAATAAACCATGGGAGATATATCCCACATGAATACCGTAGTTCCGACGTGAATTATCTGTTTTTGACCAGATCGAAAAAGAGATTAATCAAAGTGCGTATAAACTAACTTGAACACTCCTAACCGTTAAATAAAAAAAAACATGGTCACCCAAATCTTATGACTTAGAAATATCAATTCACAACTTTAGAATGGTATTGTTATTGACTTGCTTTAAGATCTTCCTCCGCCCATGTGGTTAGTCTCCTAATTGCTGTCCCCTCAATATTATCTGTGGCCTAAGTTCCTCCATTCCAGTTTCTGTTCTTTTCGGTTCAGATTATTAACTTCACTGCCGCTTATTTGGTATAAGGTAAATATTATTTGTACTTAATTCAAGAATCTTATCTTTTGATCTAATTAATTACTTCTATTTAGAGGTAACAAATGGGTGAATTAAGTCGGTTATGGACTGGGTTAAAATGGATTGAGTTTAAAATAAATTCAATCCAAATATCAACTCCGTTAATATTGTATTCAACATTGTCTATCCCAAGTCGGGATAAAGGAGAAGGATTTCGTTAGGTAACCGATAGCTAGCGTAAAACTATATCGGATCCATTATGATATGTCTAAATAATAATATATGTTTTAACTTAAATGAGTATATTACACATGACCAAAATGAATGACGAAGACAGACTCGTATAACCGACCTCAAATGATGAGAACATAAAGTTTAGTTTGGTTTATAATGGATTGTGTTATAATGAGTTTGGTTAAATTCATTAGCCCATAAAATAATTAAAACTTTTAATAAGCACACAGTATTACATCAAAATAAACACACATACACGTAGATACATATTACACCAAAATACACACACTACTACACCAAAATAGACACACACAGTATTACATCAAAGTAAACACACACACACACACACACACTATTATACATACACACTTACACCAAAATAAACACATACTATTACACCAAACTAAACACACACACTTGATAAAATATAATTAAATTTAATAGTTTATTCTTATAATACTAGTTAAAGACGTTAATCGAGTCGCTTTTGTATTATTCTTATTTGATACTAACCCGACCCATTTATTATTCGTGTTAACGGGTTTGTGTCGAAAAATGATCAATTATAACCAACTAATTTCGTGTCGATTTTAAGTTGTGTTTTTCTGCTGTATTATAAATTGTCATCCCTAAACATGGTATCCTTCGGTTCAAGTAAAGCACTTCAATTTATATTTTCAATGTATTAATTACTTGGGGAGGCATATTACAAGTATGATAGAATTCATAGAAATCCATCATAATCTGCTTAGCAAAGCACCATTGTCTTCTTCGGTTAATCAAGTTGAACACTTCAATTTATATGTCAATGCACGCATTACAGATAAGTTAGGATCCATAGAGATTAATCATAATTTGTTTAGCAGAAATATAATAGAACAATGTAAAAATATAAAATTAAGATGTTTTACATGTATCACACTCTATTGGATGCATGCATAAATGTATTGGCTTTAATTAGTAATGTGTAGATGGGACAAAAGGAGAGAAGAAGGAGAGAGATTCTGCTTAAGTCCTTAACTTCATTTTAACAGACTAAACAGGTGATGACAATGATGGGATCGATAATAACCTAGCCTGGCTAATGCTTTAAAATGGCCCGGATTATTTACCATTAATGGAGATACCAATTATGGTCTTATTGCTTTACAAAAGAAATTCTCCCTTGTAAGAAAAGTTTAAGGTTGGAGACAAAATCACATAAATGTAATTTGGGTGTTTTTTTTTACCGCTTTCCCATGAACAAATGCTTCATTCATTTATTATGCCGTTGTATGCAGTTCAAAATAATTGTTTAAATCTTTTGTTTTTAACATATATTGTTTAAATCCATCAAATATTTTAAGTAACAATTGGAGTATATGGTAGTTGAGGATGAGTCTTAGCACAGGGTTGAGATTGTTCAACTATGATCTTTGGTGTCAAGGATTTGAATCGGAAAGATAACTTCTTTACATGCAGAAATAATATTACATACATCTGATCCTCTCAAAATTCTATAATAATGAGAATCTCTCACACTTACTCGTCTGTTTTTAGTATTATATGGTAGTTGATCTTTCTATTTTTTTGGGTTAAAAGAACTTTTTTATGTTAAAAGCAAATATTATGCTGAAAATTGTAGTCAAATCCTCCTTCAATTTTGGATAAATATATAAAAATCCATTTTGATCCCTAAAATAACTAAAAGGATCTCCCTAGCAATCACATAATTATTATTTTTTCTTCTTCAGATAAATACAAATCCCTTTTTTGAGCTCTAAAATAATTAGCAAAAATCCCGGTCGATCGCATATTTTTTCAATTTTTTTTAAACTTTGGTTGGTAAAACCCAAGAAAAAAAGATAAACATTATTCTAGAAGCAAAAAATACCCATCTGCAAAAAAAAAAAAATTGAAATGAAAAGTCTTCCCATGAGCTGTTCAAGTCAATGACTGGAACTTATAAGCTGAATCAATTATTTATTTTATCATTTTGTTGTCCAATTGTGGACCACAAAA